CAGGAATGTGTGAAAGGGGCAGTCAGGAGGTAGGTAGGGGAATGAGAGAAAGTCAGAGAGGGGGTGAGGGTGCAGTCAGGGAGGGGGATGAGGGGCAGTCAGGGATGGAGACGAGGGGCAGTCAGGGAGGGGGACGAGGGGCAGTCAGGGAGGGTGTGAAAGGGGCAGTCAGGTAGTTTGACAAGGGGCAGTCAGGTAGGGGGACGAGGGGCAGTCAGGTAGGGGGACGAAGGGCAGTCAGGGAGGGGGGCGAAGGGGAGTCAGGGAGTCAGGGAGGGTGTGAAAGGGGCAGTCAGGTAGGGGGATGAGGGACAGTCAGGGAAGGGGACGAGGTGCAGTCAGGGAGGGGGTGAATGGGGCAGTCAGGGAGGTGGACAAAGGGGCAGTCAGAGGGGGGTGAAAGGGACATTCATGGAGGGGGTGAAAGGGGCAGTCAGGTAGGTGAACGAGGGAATGTCAGGGAGGGGGTGAGGGGCAGTAAGGTAGGGGGACGAGGGGCAATCAGGGAGGGGGTGAGGGGGCAGTCAGGGAGAGGGACGAGAGGCAGTCAGGGTGGGGGACGGGGGGCAGTCAGGAAGGGGTTGAAAGGGGCAGACAGGGAGGGGGACGAGGGGCAGTCAGGGAGGGGGTGAACGGGGCAGTCAGGTACAGGGACGAGGGGCAGTCAGCGAGGGGAACGAGGGACAATCAGGGAGGGGGACGAGGGGAAGTCAGGGAGGGGTGAAAGGGGCAGTCAGGGAGGGGGATGAGGGGCAGTCAGGGAGGGTGTGAAAGTGGCAGTCAGGTAGTGGGACAAGGGGCAGTCAGGGTAGGGACGAGGGGCAGTCAGTGAGGGGGGCGAGGGGGAGTCAGGGAGGGTGTGAAAGGGGCAGTCAGGTAGGGGGATGAGGGACAGTCAGGGAGGGGGACGAGGGGCAATCAGGGAGGGGTTGAGGGGGCAGTCAGGGAGAGGGACGAGAGGCAGTCAGGGTGGGGGACGAGGGGCAGTCAGGAAGTGGTTGAAAGGGGCAGACAGGGAGGGGGACTAGGGGCAGTCAGGGAGGTGGCGAAAGGGGCAGGCAGGGAGGAGGCAAAACAGGGGGTTCATGTGGGTCACACTGGGTTTCAAAGAGGCAGCTTTTGTTTTGTGTCAAAGTCTCGTTCTGTTCTCTAGCCGTGGCGTCAGGATGGGGATGGGGTGGACATGGATCTGAACAGGGCCACATATCATTCTGGGGTTGGGGTGACCTCCTGTGGACATCCCCTTCACTGTGTCTCTGAATAGAGATTTCTAGAGGATGACACTTTGCAGAGGAATCAGAGCCTTGACTAATGACAAAGCAAGCCTCGGATGCTGTCTCACAGAATGATTGGGTTTGCTGCCTGTAGGCTAGGGCCTCATTGTCATTGAATGGTATTGGGCCAGGGATAGAGGAAATATGACCTTAAGGCTCGCACCAAATGTGGACCTAGCGTTTGTCTGCAGATTGTTCAGGGCACTGTGTTTTAGGGGCCACCCACTGTAGATGTCCGACTGCCAACACTTTTCATGTCAAATTGGTGCGCACTGTTCGCAAATTATGTTCAGAGATGCTAAGTAATGTATTGGTGTGTCTGAACCCTCAGGATCAAACCCAAGTCAACGAGAGTGGGGGGCTAGGGGGAGTAAGAGACCATCAGCAGAGCAGACGTACTGGGGGAAGGAACCTGTTAGCTTGCCTGTAAGTGAGTGAGTGAGTGATTGAGTGAGTGAGTGAGTGAGTGAGTGAGTGAGTGAGTGAGTGAGTGAGTGAGTGAGTGAGTGAGTGAGTGAGTGAGTGAGTGAGTGAGTGAGTGAGTGAGTGAACATCGGCAGACAGAGAACACATCCCTTCTCTCCTTCCTTCCTGACGGCACCACTAATCACCACGACCAGAAGCTCGGCACTAACATTACCAAATGGAGGCCAGGCGGCCAGGCAGACAGAGTGGTATGTATATCAGCCAGCCAGCCAGGGTTCTGAGAGTCATCCAGCCATACACCGCCAGGTAAACAAATATCACACAGGCCATTAATCCCTCTAATTTCCCTGCCTTGCCTTCCACTAGGTCCCTGCACACCCAGGGCTGTGTCCCTGCTCTATAGCCAGTCTCTACGTATTGCAGGGGGATGGAGGGGAAGGTGGAGGGGAAGGAAGGAAGGAAAACAACAAAGCCATTAAAAGCGGGGAGCCAGTGAGTGGTCGTGCCACAAGTCATGATCGTCAGCGCGGGCCTGGCGGTCTGTACCGTGGCCCGGTGGGCCGGGGCAGCGAGGTGTGCTAATGTGGATGACAAGCCGCCAACGCACTCACTGGGGCTAATGGTCAGATAACACCCCCCCCCCTTCACAATGCCTCTGCTTGAATTCACATGCAAATTTGTGTGTGTGAAATGTTCAAGCACTTTCCCAGACATGATATGCCAATAGTATCAGGAAGGATTTCTGTAATTTTGTTAAAGTAGCACGAGTCCAGTAATATATATATATATATATATATATATATATATATATATATATATATATATATATATATATATATATATATATATATATATATATATATATATATACACAGTATCTCACAAAAGTGAGTACACCCCTCACATTTTTGTAAATATTTGAGTATATCTTTTCATGTGACAACACTGAAGAAATGACACTTTGCTACAATGTAAAGTAGTGAGTGTACAGCTTGTATAACAGTGTACGTTTGCAGTCCCTTCAAAATAACTAAACACACAGCCATTAATGTCTTAACCTCTGGCAACAAAAGTGAAAATGTCCAAATTGGACCCAATTAGCCATTTTCCCTCCCCGGTGTCATGTGACTCATTAGTGTTACAAGGTCTCAGGTGTGAATGGGGAGCATGTGTGTTAAATGTGGTGTCATCGCTCTCATACTCCCTCATACTGGTCACTCTAAGTTCAACATGGCACCTCATGGCAAAGAACTCTCTGAGGATCTGAAAAAAAGAATTGTTGCTCTACATAAAGATGGCCTGGGCTATAAGAAGATTGCCAAGACCCTGAAACTGAGCTGCAGCACGGTGGCGAAGACCATACAGCTGTTTAACAGGACAGGTTCCACTCAGAACAGGCCTCGCCATGGTCGACCAAAGAAGTTGAGTGCACGTGCTCAGCGTCATATTCAGAGGATGTCTTTGGGAAATAGACGTATGAGTGCTGCCAGCATTGCTGCAGAGGTTGAAGGGGTGGGGGGGTCAGCCTGTTAGTGCTCAGACCATACGCCGCACACTGCATCAAATTGGTGTGCATGTCTGTCGTCCCAGAAGGAAGCCTCTTCTAAAGATGATGCACAAGAAAGCCCACAAACAGTTTGCTGAAGACAAGCAGACTAAGGACATGGATTACTGGAACCATGTCCTGTGGTCTGATGAGACCAAGATAAACGTATTTGGTTCAGATGGTGTCAAGCGTGTGTGGCGGCAACCAGGTGAGGAGTACAAAGAGAAGTGTGTCTTGCCTACAGTCAAGCATGGTGGTGGGAATGTCATGGTCTGGGGCTGCATGAGTGCTGCCGGCACTGGGGAGCTACAGTTTATTGAGGGAACCATGAATGCCAACATGTACTGTGACATACTGAAGCAGAGCATGATCCCCTCCCTTCGGAGACTGGGCCGCACGGCAGTATTCCAACATGATAACGACCCCAAACACACCTCCAAGACGACCACTTCCTTGCTAAAGAAGCTGGGGGTAAAGCTGATGGACTGGCCAAGCATGTCTCCAGACCTAAACCCTATTGAGCATATGTGGGGCATCCTCAAACGGAAGGTGGAGGAGTGCAAGGTCTCTAACATCCACCAGCTCCGTGATGTCGTCAAGGAGGAGTGGAAGAGGACTCCAGTGGCAACTGTGAAGTTCTGGTGAACTCCATGCCCAAGAGGGTTAAGGCAGTGCTGGGAAATGATGGTGGCCACACAAAATATTGACACTTTGGCCCCAATTTGGACATTTTCACTTAGGGGTGTACTCACTTTTGTTGCCAGCGGTTTAGACATTAATGGCTGTGTGTTGTGTTATTTTGAGGGGCCAGCCAATTTACACTGTTATACAAGCTGTACACTCACTACTTTACATTGTAGCAAAGTGTCATTTCTTCAGTGTTGTCATGTGAAAAGATATACTCAAATATTTACAAAAATGTGAGGGGTGTACTCACTTTTGTGAGATACAGTATATATATCTCCCTCTCTCTCAATTCAATGGGCTTTATTTGCATGGGAAACATACAGTATGTTTACTTTGCCAAAGCAAGTTAAATAGACAAGAAACTCTCTCTCTTATCTGGTGTTAGCCTGCTGAGCTAAAGCCGAGGCATTAGCTCAGGGAACCAATGCAAGTCTTCGGGTCTCAGGCAAGGTCACTTTTCAGGCAAAGTTTCTCAGCAGTCTGAACAAGGAACCCTGAAAGCCTATCTTCAACAGAAAACAACTTCCCTCGACTATGTTGCCCTGATAATGTCTATTGCCCACTCACCTTCCAGTCTGCCGTGCTTGGTGAGGACCTTGACCAGAACCACATACCTGCTGGAATCCAGAGACACAGAGGAATCCTTAAGGCTAGAGAGAGAGAGAGCGAGAGAAAGAGAACATATTTTTAGATCATAGGTGTGTGAGATCTCGAACGTGGCCGATGCAGTTCATATGTCACAATTGCATCTCCCTACAATTCAGATTCCTCTACCCTCCCCAACTTCTCAATGCCTCCCCCCTCCTCCTCTTGGCAGAAGCTTTGCAGGGGAGTGGGAGACAGAGAGCTTAACGTGAGTGCAGCCTTTCTCTTTCTGAGGGGTGACAGAGGCAGGGTGTGGGGCGAGGAGAGGAGAGACTGGGGGTATGTACGCACCGGATTGATCAGAGCGTCCCAGTCTACAGGCCTGGCCACTGCATTAACGTCTCCCCTCATCCAGCTCATGTTAACCTTTCATGCTTGGCTGAACCGAGCACAGGGGAATGTGTGTGTGAGTCCCAATTAATTCACAGCTCTCTCTTCAAGTTCAGCGCATCTTCCACATTGTCATGGCGGCAGCAGAGGTGGATGAGGGTGGCGTAGCCCCCGGCAACCATGTCTGCCTTGTGTTGGCTCTTCAGATCCAGAGCCCTGTCCAGTTGCTGTCGGACAGAGGAGAAGACGTCTTTAAATCAACCTTCATCTCACACATTTAATCATAAGGCTGAACTGATTGGTTCACAGCTGCAGAGCCCATTAGGACATTAAAAACTATTATTTAATTGGCTCTTACCATGGCAGGGAGTCAAGCAGCAGATTATCACTCTGGAACAACCAGGTTTTACGCTTAACAAACATCACCCAAAATAGAGAGGGCATGTGTGCTGAGACTGTACCTCCCCAGAATACGGAGTGAGGATGTGTTGTTTCAGGGTAGCTCCTACTGGTTTACTGTCAGCCTTCAGCTCAGCCAGCCTCTTCTCCAGTGCCATCCAGACCCAGACCAGAAGACAGACAGATGTTACACACACACTTCCCCAACGACTATCACCTATATCTCCGAAACCCAACGACTATCACCTATATCTCCGAAACCCAACGACTATCAACTATATCTCCGAAACCCAACGACTATCACCTATATCTCCGAAACCCAACGACTATCACCTATATCTCCGAAACCCAACGACTATCACCAATATCTCTGAAACCCAACGACTATCACCTATATCTCTGAAACCCAACGACTATCACCTACATCTCCGAAACCCAACGACTATCACCTATATCTCCAAAACCCAACGACTATCACCTACATTGCCTTTGGAAAGTACTCAGACCCCTTGACTTTTTCCACATTTTGTTAGGTTACAGCCTTATTCTAAAATTGATTAAATAAATACAATTCCTGAGCAATCTACACACAATACCCCATAATAACAAAACAAAAACAGGTTTTTATAATTTTTTGCAAATGTATTAAAAATTTAAAACAGAAACACCTTGTTTACATAAGTATTCAGACCCTTTGCTATGAGCTCAGGTGCATCCTGTTTCCATTGATTATCCTTGAGATGTTTCTACAACTTGATTGGAGTCCACCTCTGGTAAATTCAATTGATTGGACATGATTTGGAAAGGCACACACCTGTCAATATAAGGTTCCACAGTTGACAGTTAACGTCAGAGCAAAAACCAAGCCATGAGGTCGAAGGAATTGTCCGTAGAGCTCTGAGACAGGATTGTTGTTCGAGGCACAGATCTGGGGAAGGGTACCAAAGCATTTCTGCAGCATTGAAGGTCCCCAAGAACACAGTGGCCTCCATCATTCTTAAATGGAAGAAGTTTGGAACCACCAAGACTCTTCCTAGAGCTGGCCGCCCGGCCAAACTGAGCAATCGGAGGAGAAGGGCCTTGGTCAGGGAGGTGACCAAGAACCTGATGGTCACACTGACAGAGCTCTAGAGTTCATTTGAGGAGGGGAGAAGCTTCCAGAAGGACAACCATCTCTGCAGCACTCCACCAATCAGGCCTTTATGGTAGAGTGGCCAGACGGAAGCCAGAGTTTGCCAAGAGGCACCATTCCTCTCAGACCATGAGAAACAAGATTCTCTGGTCTGATGAAAGCAAGATTGAACTCTTTGGCTTGAATGCCAAGCGTCACTTCTGGAGTAAACCTGGCACCATCCCTATGGTGAAGCATGGTGGTGGCAGCATCATGCTGTGGGGATGTTTTTCAGCGGCAGAGACTGAGAGGCTAGTCAGGATCGAGGCAAAGATGAACGGAGCAAAGTACAGAGAGATCCTTCATGGAAATCTGCTCCAGAGCGCTCAGGACCTCAGACTGGGGTGAAGGTTCACATTCCAACAGGACAACTACCCAAAGCAAACTGCCAAGACATTGCAGGAGTGGCTTCAGGACAAGTCTCTGAATGTCCTTGAGGGGTCCAGCCAGAGCCCGGACTTGAACCCAATCTAACATCTCTGGAGAGACCTGAAAATAGCTGTGCAACAACGCTCCCCATCCAACCTGACAGAACTTGAGAGGATCTTCAGAGAAGAATGGGAGAAACTCCCCAAATACAGATGTGCCAAGCTTGTAGCGTTTACCCAAGAAGACTCGAGGCTGTAATCGCTGCCAAAGGTGCTTCAACAAAGTACTGAGTAAAGGGTCTGAATACTTACGTACATGTGATATTTCAGTTTTTAATTTTTTAAATAAATTAGCAAAAATGTATACAATATAATTGGCATATATTACTCTTACTGAATTTCCACGTGGGCGAGGATATTGGAAATGTAATCAAAGCCTATTGGATGATAACTTGTTTTTAACTAGGACAGAGGAATTTATAACTGATTTTTTCCGACATAACATAGGTACAGCAAATCCCTATCGCCCTCCAGGTTCCCTTGGAGAGTTCATCAATGAGCTTGACGCCTTGATAAGTTCCTTTCCTGAGGATGGCTCACCGCTCACAGTTCTGGGGGATTTCAACCTCCCTACGTCTACATTTGACTCATTTCTCTCTGCCTCCTTCTTTCCACTCCTCTCCTCTTTTGACCTCACCCTCTCACCGTCCCCCCCTACTCACAAGGCAGGCAATACGCTTGACCTCATCTTTACTAGATGCTGTTCTTCTACTAATCTCACTGAAACTCCCCTCCAAGTCTCCGACCACTACTTTGTATCCTTTTCTCTCTCCCTCTCCTCCAACACTACTCACTCTGCCCCTACACAGATGGTAATGCGCCGTCGCAACCTTCGCTCTCTCTCTCCCGCTACTCTCTCCTCTTCCATCCTATCATCTCTTCCCTCTGCTCAATCCTTCTCCCTCCAATCTCCTGATTCTGCCTCCTCAACCCTCCTCTCCTCCCTTTCTGCATCCTTTGACTCTCTATGTCCCCTATCCTCCCGGCCGGCTCGGTCCTCCCCTCAAGCTCCGTGGCTTGATGATTCATTGCGAGCTCACAGAACAGAGCTCTGGGCAGCTGAGCGGAAATGGAAGAAAACTAGACTCCCTGCTGACCTGGCATCTTTTCACTCCCAACTCTCTACATTTTCTTCATCTGTTTCTGCTGCTAAGGCCACTTTCTACCACTCTAAATTCCAAGCATCCGCCTCTAACCCTAGGAAGATATTTGCCACATTCTCTCTCTCGCGGCTCACTCTTGGATTGCGTCCTACCTGACCGGTCGCTCCTACCAAGTGGTGTGGCGAGAAGCTGTCTCCGCACCACGTGCTCTCACCACTGGTGTCCCCCAGGGCTCAGTTCTAGGCCCTCTCCTATTCTCGCTATACACCAAGTCACTTGGCTCTGTCATATCCTCACATGGCCTCTCCTATCATTGCTACGCTGACGACACACAACTAATCTTCTCCTTTCCCCCTTCTGATAACCAGGTGGCGAATCGCATCTCTGCATGTCTGGCAGACATATCAGTATGGATGACGGATCACCACCTCAAGCTGAACCTCGGCAAGACAGAGCTGCTCTTCCTCCCGGGGAAGGACTGCCCGTTCCATGATCTCGCCATCACGGTTGACAACTCCGTTGTGTCCTCGTCCAAGAGTGCGAAGAGCCTTGGCGTGACCCTGGACAACACCTTGTCGTTCTCCGCTAACATCAAGGCGGTGACCCGATCCTGTAGGTTCATGCTCTACAACATTCGGAGAGTACGACCCTGCCTTACACAGGAAGCGGCACAGATCCTAATCCAGGCACTTGTCATCTCCCGTCTGGATTACTGCAACTCGCTGTTGGCTGGGCTCCCTGCCTGTGCCATTAAACCCCTACAACTTCATCCAGAATGCCGCAGCCCGTCTGGTGTTCAACCTTCCCAAGTTCTCTCACGTCACCCCGCTCCTCCGCACACTCCACTGGCTTCCAGTTGAAGCTCGCATCTGCTACAAGTCCATGGTGCTTGCCTACGGAGCTGTGAGGGGAACGGCACCTCCGTACCTTCAGGCTCTGATCAGTCCCTACACCCAAACGAGGGCACTGCGTTCATCCACCTCTGGCCTGCTGGCTCCCCTACCTCTGCGGAAGCATAGTTCCCGCTCAGCCCAGTCAAAACTGTTCGCCGCTCTGGCACCCCAATGGTGGAACAAGCTCCCTCACGACGCCAGGACCGCGGTGTCACTCACCACCTTCCGGAGACATTTGAAACCCCACCTCTTTAAGGAATACCTGGGATAGGATAAAGTAATCCTTCTACCCCCCCCCCCCCCCCCCCCCCCCCCCTTTACTCCAACCCCCCCCCCCAACAAAAAAAAAACATTGTAAAGTGGTTATCCCACTGGCTATAAGGTGAATGCACCTATTTGTAAGTCGCTCTGGATAAGAGCGTCTGCTAAATGACGTAAATGTAAATATAAATGTTTAAATGTGCCTTTAGAGGCCATGCAATTCAGTACTCAACTCAAAAACAAAAGCAATTTAGGTCAAAAGAGTCCATACTAACAAAGGAAATAGAAGGTCTAACAGAACAGATAGATAGCAATAAAAACTGTAACATAGAGGCTCAGAATAAATTAGAGGAAAAACCAAAAGAAATTGAGAAACTTATTCAAGAAAGATCAAGTGTAATATATTATAAAAATAAAGCAAACTGGATGGAATATGGGGAAAAATGCACCAAATTCTTTTTTAATCTTCAACATAGAAATGCTACCAAAAATAATTTACTGAAACTGGTTACAAATGACGGAGTCCCCCATGATTCACCAAGTGATATTTTGAAGGAAGAAACAAAGTACTTTAAGCATATGTTTTTGTTTCAGTCACCTCCATCTCCTCTAACTGAAGCTAATTGTATAGTTTTTTTCTTCTTCTATTGATAATGTCAAATTAACAGCCATACAGAAAGACTCATGTGAAGGTGAAATTACAGAGGAGGAACTTCTGGATGCAATTAAAGAAGTCCGGGAGAACTCCAGGGTTGGATGGCATACCAGTTGAGGTATACCAAACCTTTTTTGATATACTCAGAGGACCGTTATTAGCATGTTTTAACCACTCCTATGTAAATGGTAGATTATCAGACACTCAAGAAGAAGGTCTGATTTCATTATTACTGAAACAGGATACAAGTGGAAAATATAAAGATCCAGTCCATGAAAAAAATTGGAGGCCCCTTACACTTCAGTGTTGTGATGCAAAAATTCTAGCAAAAATGTATAGCGCATAAAATTAAAAAGGTATTGTCGGATATTATTCATTCTAATCAGACAGGTCTTTTACATGGACGATACATTGGAGATATTATAAGGCAAGTACTGGAAACAATAGAACACTATGAAAAATCTGGGAAAGCAGGCCTGCTATTCATAGCAGACTTTGAAAAGGCATTTGATAAAGTAAAACTGGGGTTTATATATAAATGCCTGGAGCATTTCAATTTTGGAGAATCTCTTATGAATTGGGTTAAAATCATGTATACAGTCGTGGTCAAAAGTTTTGAGAATGACACAAGTATTGGTCTCCACAAA